CAGCACTAGAGAGCAAGGCAAAGCAACGCACTAATCCCTCTCCAACTAACCCCTTCTCCAGTGATTTACAGAAGACATTTGAGATTGAACTTTAAGCAGTCCAGGGGGAGGGGGGCGGATAAATTGTACGTTAGAATAGAGGGATAAAGGGAGCAGAGGGGACTGTTTCTGATCAGTTTGCTTTGATAATCCCAAAGGTCCCTTCAAAGGAAAATGAGTTAGAAAGAGGGAGCAATTATGGGGACAATATAAACATACAGAGAATTTAATGTGCAGTTCTTACAAGGAACCCTGGAGCCACCCCAGTCTGCATCCCTCCTCACTTGGAAAGCTGGAAGTCAAACAGAGCAAAGAAAGGCACCCAGTCCTGAAGCGTGTTCTGCAGAAACATCACTTATCTCACCGAAAGGAAGGCAGATTTTGTACTTGTGTCCTTCTGATGCCCTGCCAGTCCTGGACGTTCCCCCCTCAGGGAAAAAATGGGGTGGGGTGGGGGGTGGATGTGGTTGGGAGATTGTCACCTGCTTCGCAAAAGCTAGGTTTGTGGAGAAAGTTGAGCTTCCATTTTGAGTAACAAAGTGAATATTATATGTAAAGAATAAAGTAAAGCCAAAATCTTTATTTTTATGCATTTAGAATATTTTAAATAGTTGGATATTAAAAGCTGTATGAGTTGTAAGTAATCTTGCCAAAGGTTAAAAAAAGGGGGTTGGATGTAAGAAATTGTACATAAGATTGATTTATCTCTGATTCTTATTGTAAGTAATATTGGGGGGCGGAAAAAGGGGCTCTAGCTTGTTCTTGTATCTGTTCATTGTAAGTAGCATATTGCAACAACAATCACAACCAATAAGTCATTATATCGTAGTTTTAAATAAAGAGAATTAAAGAACAGTATTGTCATGGTTTGAAAACCGTGAGGAAAATGTACTGTTTTTTATCGGAATCAAGCTACATATTATATATAGTATGAGTTTTTTTCCTTTCATGTATTGCTGCAGTTTCTTTGTCTTAATCTATTGGTTCTAACACTACTGTGACAACTTACTGTAATCATATCTACATCCTGGGGCTACCTGGGACACCATTTTATGTTTGTCTGTCAATAGATCTTAGAGGTTTTTAACTTTGGTTTTATTTTTTCCCACTGATTTGTGAAACCTTGTGGTTAAGGCTGCAGCTGGTCCAGGTTCTGCCTCTGGTGACTTGTGAAAACCATCTCATTTTAACTTTACTTTTAAACTTTGGCCTTACAAGCAAATGTAAGTTATATATATTTGTACTGATGATTTATAATCTGCTTTAACAGAAATAAATGTTGGTGGTAGAAGTGCTGTCTGTGAAAGCTTTATTCACCCCCGTTTAATTTTCAGCGTTTGCCCTTCTGGGTATCTTCTGTGTTATTATGTGAATGTAGACGAGCCCTGCTTGCCAGCCTAGAAGCTTAGTAACGGCATCTTAACACCTCTCAGGTCACCTTGAACTTTAAGACTGAACTTGCAAATACCCTTGTGACCTGTAATTATTTAAAGTTTGGAAATAGAGGGCTTTACTGAAAACGTCAGAGTCTGGGTTTGCATTACTGTATTTTCTAACATTGAATATTTACATACTGACAAAAAAGAAGACAGTAACATTCAAAAAGGAAAACTCACTTTGATTTTCTTTCCCCTACTACTAAAAGGAATGAACATCTTAAGAACCACATGAGAGGACTGTATTTTCACTCCTTTTCTGTTCTCCCAGTAAGCTGATGCCTACCCTGTTAGTGTGACTGTTTCTTTCTGCATTCTTATGTGCTCCACATAGTTTTTGACATCAGGAAAAGTCAGACTTTGTAACCTGAAGGGGAAGAAACACTCCTTTTGTTTGGCCCTAGTTTCTAGCAGTTTCCATTTCAATGCAAGTACAGTGAGTCGCACGGTGATACAGGCTAGAAAAATGGGCCTTTTTTTCCTTTACAGAGTCTTACCTGTTTTCAGTAGGATATGAACAATAATGACCAACATTCCCTGTGGTATATGAGTTGTTACCAATGCTTTTTTCCACCTTTCAAAAAGCAAGCAAATATTTGTACACATTTATAATAGAATAAGCTATAATAAATGCGTTCTTTCCTATTAGTTCCATATCTTTCACAGCAGTGCACAAAGATTGGCTGAAAATAGCTCAGAGTAGCCTCACCCTTCCCCTGCCCTGGAGATAACAGCAAAGGAGATAGGACCTTCCTCCAATCCATTGTTTAGGGAAGAAAATGAACATCCTTGAGTCTCAAATAAAAAAATAATAAAAAAAAAACCATTCAGTGAGGCAGTTAAGTGGGACTATAAGAGAGGGGAAAGCTCAGCTTACCAAATAGAAGAAATATAAAAAAGACCCTCAAATACTGTCCTTACTGCCATGGTTATGCAGCTGAAAGGTCAGAATAAACACTCAGTGGACCCAAGCACCTTCAGTGTTCAAGTCCTGCCCATCAGAATACTGGTGGGTGTTAGAGCCCTCATGACTCTTGCAAAAGCGCTCCCAGGCCACATCTTGAATAACTGTACAGCTTAAATGAATGCTGACTACACAGAATATTTAAATATTCTAAAAAGACAGCCTCTGATGTAGTAGAAACGGGTATTACAGAACTGACTGCTTATTCTGGGACAGACTGGAATGTAGGCTATGATTAGTCCCTGGTCTCAAAAGGCAAAAAGTCATACTATAGAATAAAAATACTGAAATATCCTGTACATACACCTCCCCTCCCCGAAAAAAAAAATTAAAAAAAAATTTGCTGGTCTGAGATGGTAAATGCAAAATTATGAACAAACACAATTAGAAGGTCTCAGGAGCATCTCACTATGCTTGAATAGCCAATGAGGGCAACGTCAAACCTTACATTGTAACACCTACTGTGAGTTACAGCAGAGACAGTTTTTCCCTAATCAAAGCATCTTAACTGCAAAAAAATACATATTTTTTGTCTTTTCTAGCAAGCATAATCCATCAGACCACAGAAAGACCCACCCCCAAATAGCTAGTAACTGTCACCTCTCACTCCTTTACTGGATTGCTTCTAGACTCTTCAGTTTGTTCACATCTTAAAGCAGTGTGTCCAAGCCTGAAGCCATACCTGCGCTGAAGAGCATGCAATCATTGGGTCAGTAATTCTTATTTTTAGGTGCAGCTGAACTGATTTACTGGATTTAGACTCCAAACCAGCTTTAGGCTGTCAAGCCTGGAGATTTACACCTGTGTATTACTGCTGCCCTGAGTACTGAGTCTGGATGGAAGGCGAGGAGAGTGGTACGAGCACAATCCTGGATTAGCTGCCTGCCTTAGAAGCCTTAAATTGAAAA